CTTCGGATTTGTGATAGAAGGTGTACCCAACAGTCTCCTTTGGGTATCCTATGAAGACATATTTCTCCGATTTGAGTTTGAGCTTATCAGGATGAAACTTTTTCATATAAGCATCACAATCCCAAACTTTAAGAAATGACAACTTTGGTTTCTTGCCAAACCACAGTTCAGATTGTGTCGTCTCAACGGACTTAGATGGTGCCCTTTTAAACGTGAATGTAGCTGTCTTTAATGCATAACCCTAAAACGATAGTGGTAGATCGAAAAGAGACATCATAGATCGCACCATATCTAATAAAGTACGGTTATAATGTTCAGACACACCATTATGCTGTGGTGTTCCAGGTGGCGTGAGTAGTAAAACTATTTCACATTGTTTTAACTGAAGGCCAAACTCGTAACTCAAATATTTTACCTCTGCGATCATATCGTAGAAACTTTTATTTTCTTGTTACGATGATTCTCCACTTCACTATGAAATTCTTTGAACTTTTCAAATATTTTAGACTTGTGTTTCATTAAGTAGATATACCCATATCTGCTCAAATCATTTGTGAAGGTCAGAAAATAATGATACCCGCCGCGAGCCTTAACACTCATCGGATCTCATACATCAGTATGTATTATTTCCAATAAGTCAGTTGCTCGCTCCATAGTTCCGGAGAACGGCGTTTTAGTCATCTTGCCCATGAGGCATGGTTCACAAGCATCAACTAATTCATAATCAAGTGATTCCAAAAAACCCATTAGCATGGAGTTTCTTCATGCGCTTTACACCAATATGACCTAAACGGCAGTGCCACAAATAAGTTGCACTATCATTATTAACTTTGCATCTTTTGGTTTCAATATTATGATTATGTGTATCACTACGATCGAGATCCAACGAACTATTTTCATTGGGTGTGTAACCATATAAGGTTTTATTCATGTAAACAGAACACCAATTTATTCTCTTACTTAAATGAATAACCGTATTACAATAAACATGATCAAATCATATTCATGCTCAACGCAAACACCAAATAACACTTATTCAGGTTCAACACTAATCCCGAAAGTATAGGGAGTGTGCGATGATGATCATATCAATCTTGGAACCACTTCCAACACACATCGTCACTTCACCCTTAACTAGTCTCTGTTTATTCTGCAACTCCCGTTTTGAGTTACTAATCTTAGCAACTGAACTAGTATCAAATACTGAGGGGTTGCTATAAACACTAGTAAAGTACACATCAATAACATGTATATCAAATATACTTATGTTCACTTTGCCATCCTTCTTATCTGCCAATCACTTGGGGTAGTTCCGCTTCCAGTGACCAGTCCCTTTGCAGTAGAAACACTTAGTCTCAGGCTTAGGACCAGACTTGGGCTTCTTCACTTGAGCAGCAACTTGCTTGTTGTTCTTCTTGAAGTTCCCCTTCTTCCCTATGCCCTTTTCTTGAAACTAGTGGTCTTGTCTACCATCAACACTTGATGTTTTTCTCGATTTCTACCTTCGTCAATTTCCGCATTACGAAGAGCTTGGGAATCGTTTCCGTTATCCCTTGCATATCATAGTTCATCACGAAGTTCTACTAACTTGGTGATGGTGACTAGAGAATTCTGTCAATCACTATCTTATCTGGAAGATTAACTCCCACTTGATTCAAGCGATTGTAGTACTCAGACAATCTGAGCACATGCTCACTAGTTGAGCGATTCTCCTCCATCTTTTAGCTATAGAACTTGTTGGAGACTTCATATCTCTCAACTTGGGTATTTGCTTGAAATATTAACTTCAACTCCTGGAACATCTCATATGCTCCATGACGTTCAAAATGTCTTTGAAGTCCCGATTCTAAGCCATTAAGTATGGTGCACTAAACTATCAAGTAGTCATCATATTGAGCTAGCCAAACGTTCATAACGTCTGCATCTGCTCCTGCAATAGGTCCGTCACCTAGCGGTGCATCAAGGACATAATTCTTCTGTGCAGCAATGAGGATAAACCTCAGATCACGGATCCAATCCGCATCATTGCTACTAACATATAACATCTTTCAACACAATTTTCTCTAGGAACATATCAAAATAAACACAGGGAAGCAACAACGCGAGCTATTGATCTACAACATAATTTGCAAAATACTACCAGGACTAAGTTCATGATAAATTTAAGTTCAATTAATCATATTACTTAAGAACTCCCACTTAGATAGACATCCCTCTAATCCTCTAAGTGATTACGTGATCCAAATCAACTAAACCATGTCCGATCATCACGTGAGATGGAGTAGTTTCATTGGTGAACATCACTATGTTGATCATATCTGCTATATGATTCACGCTCGACCTTTCGGTCTCCGTGTTCCGAGGCCATGTCTGTATATGCTTGGCTCGTCAAGTATAACCTGAGTATTCTGCGTGTGCAACTGTTTTGCACCCGTTGTATTTGAACGTAGAGCCTATCACACCCGATCATCACGTGGTGTCTCAGCACGAAGAACTTTCGCAACGGTGCATACTCAGGGAGAACACTTCTTGATAATTAGTGAGAGATCATCTTATAATGCTACCGTCAATCAAAGCAAGATAAGATGCATAAAAGATAAACATCACATGCAATCAATATAAGTGATATGGTATGGCCACCATCATCTTGTGCTTGTGATCTCCATCTTCGAAGCACCGTCATGATCACCATCGTCACCGGCGCGACACCTTGATCTCCATCGTAGCATCGTTGTCATCTCACCAATCTTATGCTTCCACGACTATCGCTACCGCTTAGTGATAAAGTAAAGCATTACAGCGCGATTGCATTGCATACAATAAAGCGACAACCATATGGCTCCTGCCAGTTGCCGATAACTCGGTTACAAAACATGATCATCTCATACAATAAAATTTAGCATCATGTCTTGACCATATCACATCACAACATGCCCTGCAAAAACAAGTTAGACGTCCTCTACTTTGTTGTTGCAAGTTTTACGTGGCTGCTACGGGCTTAAGCAAGAACCAATCTTACCTACGCATCAAAACCACAACGATAGTTTGTCAAGTTGGTGCTATTTTAACCTTCGCAAGGACCGGGCGTAGCCACACTCGGTTCAACTAAAGTTGGAGAAACTGTCACCCGCTAGCCACCTTTCTGCAAAGCACGTCGGGAGAACTGGTCTCGCGTAAGCGTACGCGTAATGTCGGTCCGGGCCGCTTCGTCCAACAATACCGCCGAACCAAAGTATGACATGCTGGTAAGCAGTATGACTTATATCGCCCACAACTCACTTGTGTTCTACTCGTGCATATAACATTAACATATAAAACCTGGCTCGGATGCCACTGTTGGGTTTCGTAGTAATTTCAAAAAAAATTCCTACGCTCACGCAAGATCATAGTGATGCATAGCAATGAGAGGGGAGAGTATGATCTATGTACCTTATAGATCGCAACAGAAGCGTTGGGTTGATGTAGTCGTACGTCTTCACGGCCCGACCGATCAAGCACCGAAACTACGGCACCTCCGAGTTCTAGCACACGTTCAGCTTGATGACGATCCCCGGACTCCGATCCAGCAAAGTGTCGGGGAAGAGTTCCGTCAGCACGACGGCGTGGTGACGATCTTGACGTTCTACTGCTGCAGGGCTTCGCCTAAGCACCGCTACAATATTATCGAGGACTATGGTGGCTGGGGGCGCCGCACACGGCTAAGGAATAGATCACGTGGATCAACTTGTGTGTCTCTGGGGTGCCCCTGCCTCTGTATATAAAGGACTAAAGGGGGAAAGGCTGGCCGTCCAAGGAGGGCGCGCCAGGAGAGTCCTACTCCCTCTCGGAGTAGGATTCCCCCCCACTCCCAATCCTAGTTGGAATAGGATTCGCGGAGGGGGAAAAGAGAGAGAGGGGCCGGCCCCCTCTCCTTGTCCTATTCGAACCAAGGGAGGGGAGGGGCGCGCGGCCCATGTAGGGCTGCCTCTTCTCTTTTCCACTAAGGCCCATCTGGCCCATTTAGCTCCCGGGGGGTTCCGATAACCTCCCGGTACTCCGGTAAAATCCCGATTTCACCCGGAACACTTCCGGTATGCAAACATAGGCTTCCAATATATCAATCTTTATGTCTCGACCATTTCGAGACTCCTCGTCATGTCCGTGATCACATCCGGGACTCCGAACAAACTTTGGTACATCAAAATGTATAAACTCATAATATAATTGTCATCGTAACCTTAAGCGTGCGGACCCTACGGGTTTGAGAACAATGTAGACATGACCGAGACATGTCTCCGGTCAATAACCAATAGCGGAACCTGGATGCTCATATTGGATCCTACATATTCTATGAAGATCTTTATCGGTCAGACCGCATAACAACATACGTTGTTCCCTTTGTCATCGGTATGTTACTTGCCCGAGATTCGATCGTCGGTATTCCAAATACCTAGTTCAATCTCGTTACCGGCAAGTCTCTTTACTCGTTCCGTAATACATCATCTCACAACTAACTCATTAGTTGCAATGCTTGCAAGGCTTATGTGATGTGCATTACCGAGAGGGCCCAGAGATACCTCTCCGACAATCGGAGTGACAAATCCTAATCTCGAAATATGCCAACCCAACATGTACCTTTGGAGACACCTGTAGAGCTCCTTTATAATCACCCAGTTACGTTGTGACGTTTGGTAGCACACAAAGTGTTCCTCCGGCAAACGGGAGTTGCATAATCTCATAGTCATAGGAACATGTATAAGTCATGAAGAAAGCAATAGCAACATACTAAACGATCGGGTGCTAAGCTAATGGAATGGGTCATGTCAATCACATCATTCTCCTAATGATGTGATCCCGTTAATCAAATAACAACTCTTTTGTTTATGGTTAGGAAACATAACCATCTTCGATTAACGAGCTAGTCAAGTAGAGGCATACTAGTGACACTTTGTTTGTCTATGTATTCACACAAGTATTATGTTTCCGGTTAATACAATTCTAGCATGAATAATAAACATTTATCATGATATAAGGAAATAAATAATAACTTTATTATTGCCTCTAGGGCATATTTCCTTCACTGACGTCCGAACTCGCATAGGCCTACAATGTCAGGACATGACGCCTTTCACGAAGCTAGGGTGCATCATCCCGGATATGGACGAATGAACCTATAGTGATTGACGATGATGATGTCCACTCAGTTAGTACTTTCTATAGGATGAAACTTTGAATTTATGTACGATGAAAATTTGTGATGTAAACGGTCCTCCTAAACTTGTGTAGCGCTCTAGTTAATTAGTTTGGATACGATGAACTTCGTTAATTATGTTTACTATATGTTGCTTCTATTTGCTAACTCTTTCTCTTCGCGTTGCTTACGTATATTATGTTGCATATTATCGATGAATTCGCCTGATGAAGATGCATATCTGTCAGGGATATGGATCGATAGCGAAGAAGTGCTAGGCCATGTACATAGGGAGGATTCCAGGAGTGTACGATGGGTGGCCAGAGTGTCAGGCCCAAGTCAACCGCTTCCTAGGCAGCCGCCACAAAGGGTTTCAAAGTAGAATCCACCAGAAGCTAATTACTTGAGGTTCACGTTAGCGCGAGAGAGGAATCATAACCGGCTTAAGAACTACTTCATAATCCCGCTCTTGCTCACGGTGATCGCTCTTCTCTTGTATATCATAGTTTAGATCAGTGATGAAACACGTGTATGTGGCCATGTAGTTGCATGTGTTCGAGACTTGTAATAACGTGTATCACTATTTCGAGATGATGACGAGACATTTGTATTGGATCATTATGATGATGAGGCTATGTTGTGGTACTTCGATGATGATGATGATGATGATAAGACATTTTTGTCTCATATAGTTTCAATGTATGTGTATGTTGCTATTGTATAAAATCTGTATAAATACCATGTAAATATGTAGAAGAAGAAAAAAATACATAAAATCTTAGCAGTGGCGCGGGGTAAGAGAATACTGCTACACAGACTTGGCAATTTCACGGCATTCATACCAGCGATGCAGATAGTTAGCAGTAGCGCTGGATGGACCCGCATTACTGCTAAGTTTGTGTAGCAGTAGCAAGGGGTTATACCCGACGATACTGCTAAAAGTTAGCTGCAGGGCGCTAGCAATAATGCGGACACCCGCGTTATTGCTAGACCTTTACCCTCCGCTATGAATAGGTTTTTTCTAATAGTGTTACTGGTGTATGGACACTTCATAGAAAATGATGGAGAGTTTTTTTTGCCCCAACCTTCCAGTAAACAACGGTTATTTAGAGAAAGAGGAGTTGTTGAGGTTGCTCTAAGCACAACGGGGGTCTTAAACATTTTATTTATTTTCTCGTGTACAACCGTTTTTTAATGAATTCCGGTGCACACCCACTCCATTTCACACATGGACGGCGCAATAATTTTGGGCAGAGGAGCCCTGTGCGCTGTGCGGTTCCCCAACCTTCGACGCGAAGGAAGCATCCGGCAGTTGGCATCCGGAGCATGACGCCGAGTCGCCGAGCAGACGGAGACCCACCACCGTCGCCCACGCGGTTACCGCCTTGTATATAAACCCTATCATTAGCCCCAACCGTGCCACCCAAATCCCTCTCCCAAAACAAGCGGCATAAACCACGACCTCGACCCGCTCCGTCTCCGCTCCCCCGCTTCCAGTCCACTCCCCTTCCTCCCCCTCCGCTCCGCCCCCTCAAGCGAAGGCACCGGATGGCGGCGTCCCCCACCCCCGGCGGCGGCCTCGGGGCCATCCTCGCCGCCGGCGACAGGGACTACCTCGTCCGCAACTCCGGCGAGCAGGTCGACCCCTTCCCCCTCTCTCCCCCGCACTGTGCCTGTGCGATCTCGCGATTAGTCCTTCCCCCTTGGCCCGATGCTGGTCGCGTCGCGCTCCGTGTGCGCTTGTTTAGCATCTCTCCTGTTTATTTCGTTTGATCGGTCGATTTGGAGCTCGGGCTGTAGTTATCAACAACAGCATAGCTAGCGCGAATAAGATGAGACGGGTTCTCTTTTTCAGCAAGGATTCTGTCGGATTAACAGTACTAGAGTGAACGATTCGGCCTGATCGAGTTGTCAATTGATTGTTAAATAATATCTGCGATGATACCGGTGGTGTGTGACTGGCTTGTTCTAACTTGAAATAGCATCTCGCTTGTTTATTTCGTTTGATTGGTCCATTTAGAGTTCGAGCTGTATTTATCAACCGCTAGTGCAAATAAGATGAGATGGGCTCTTTTGTTTAGACGAAAGATTCTATTGAATAAATAGTACTACTAGAGTGCACGATTCGGCTTGATCGAGGTCAATTGATTATCAGATAATATCTTATATTAGTGGTATCTGATTGGCTTGAAATAGCTGCTCTATGGTCAACTTTCACGGGTGGGTTGTTGTAATTTCTGTTCCTTCGTGTCTGTCTATCTTACTTTTCTATTTCAATCTAGACTCCAAAGTTGACTCGATTTGTCTAAAGTAATATACTCACGAAACTGTAAGGTGTATTTTGATCTGTTAAGACAACTACTAGGATTTTTTACCAACAAGGCAACAACTACTAGACTAGTATGTGGTTTATGCGAAACAAAGTCGAAATCATAGGTAACTAAAATTTAATTGAAATTTAGTGATATCAGTTTTATGTCACATATATCACATATTAGCAAACAAATTGTTGGTCAAAGTCTTTCCACAACGAATCAGCATACGCTTTACATTTTGGGATGGAGGGAGTAACATGTTTTTCTTGTATGGATAGAGATTTAGTGTATATGTAATGGTATGTCTTTTGGGAATAGTTTTGTTCAATTTTCTCTTGTGTTGTGAATTTGGCAAGTTCATTAACATAACCCTGATTTGAAAAAGGAGGTCGGTTATAACATTTCATAGGAAGTACATTAAATTGATCACATAAGTGATGCAAAGTGGTCAGGTTGTAGGGGAGGAGTTAGATGGTGGATCCTCAATTTCGTTATTATTAGGCAGTGTGCATCAGATTCTTTAAATTTGTGTAAGCAAAAGCAAAGAAAGACAGTTGCATGATATGAATGAAAACATGTGTAACTAACTTTGTTCGCATGGACCAAACTGTAGTAGCTGAACCTGACGCTGTGCAACTGTTCCTTCTGTCATCTTTCAGGTGAAGATCAGCAGCATTGAGGGAGACACTGTAGCTATCTATTTCTCGGCCTCATGGTGCCCGCCATGCCAGCGGTTTACACCAAAGCTTATTGAAGCATACAAAGAACTTACGTCAAATGGCAAGAGCTTTGAGGTGATCTTTGTTTCAGGCGACCAAGATGAGGAAGCATTCAATGCCTATTTTGCAAAGATGCCGTGGTTGGCAGTTCCTTTCTCTGACTCCGAAGGCCGTAAAAGCCTTGATGAGCGGTTTGACGTCAACGGTATTCCACACCTTGTTTTCCTTGATGCAAAAACTGGCGAAGTTCTTACTGACGAAGGAGTTGAGTTTGTGAGTGAATATGGAATAGAAGCTTATCCTTTTACAACTGAGAGGATCAATGAATTGAAGGAACAAGAAAAGGCTGCTAAGGATAACCAAACTATTCATAGTGTGCTTGCTACACCAAATCGTAACTATGTAATTTCAAACACGGGGGAGAAGGTAACTGATCAACCACAGTTCTTTTATTGTCTATATTCACGCTTTTACAGATCTAGACATTCTTATGATCTAATTTGCAATGTTACTTGTACCCAGGTACCCATCGTTGATCTTGAGGGGAAGTATGTTGGTATATGCTTTGTAGTGAACAGCTACCCTCCAGTTGAGGAATTTACCCCAGTGCTTGCCAAGATATATGCGAAACTCAAAGAAGTGGGGGAGAAGTTTGAAGTTGTAGCTGTATCCTTGGACAGTGATGAGGAATCATTCAATAACAGTTTTTCAAGCATGCCTTGGCTCGCCATTCCCCATGGCGACAAGATGTGTCAGAAGCTTGTCAGTTACTTTGAGCTTAGTGATCTTCCTACACTAGTGCTGATTGGTCCTGATGGGAAGACACTGAGCAGCAATATTGCAGACATAATCAATGAGCATGGTTTGGATGCATGGGAGGGGTTCCCCTTCAATGCAGAGAAGCTGGAAATTCTAGCTGAGAAGGCAAAGGCTAAAGCAGCCTCACAGACATTGGAGTCCCTTCTGGTTACTGGTGACGTGGACTTTGTCATCGGGAAAGATGGAGCAAAGGTATTTCTTATATATGCTTGATTCCATAGATTAAAGACTCTTTTTGTTGGCAAGAATATCAACACTATTTCTGTTTGAAGTATCTTAGAGTATTGCATCGAGTAAATTAACCATATTGATCTGAATGTTGACTTTCATGCACAATTTTAAAGAGTAGAAATATCCAATTTTTTGTTAGTTGAATTCGTGATAAACGTTCTCACATCTGTACTTGCCTGGCCATCTTATTTATGTTACAGTTTGTATTAGGTAGACATTTAGACCCTCCATATCATCTTGACATCTTATTTATTTCAAGAGCTCTATTGGGTGGTCATTTAGACCCACCATATCATGCTCACCAAGATCTTACATTTTCTAACTAGCACTACGAAATTGAATGCATATTTGTTGCAACTAGTTGCTGCACCTCTAGTTTGTTCATCTCAATTTGTCCAAAAAAGTTGAAAAACAATCATAAATGTTCTTTGGACCAAAAGAAACAAATCATAGATATAGCGTCCAGATTTCTGAGCCATACAAAAAGGATAGATTTGAAGGACCTGTGTAGGAACAAATTATAATGGACAAATTATTTTGCTTGGGTCCAGGAACAAAGGGAATGATAGCGAGCCATTTATCAGATAGCCTAAATGTATATGATATATTGATTCTTAAATCATTGACGTTGAGCATATAGTAGTAATTTCAGAATGAGCATCTGGTTTAGACTTCTGATGTGTTATCTAAGATTGTGATAAGTATGAGAAGACTGAAATATACTTTGTAATGTATTATGTCAGGTTCCTGTAGCAGAACTTGTTGGGAAGACTGTCCTCCTCTACTTTTCAGCTAAATGGTGTGG